TTCTCTTTGTTTGTACACTATTACATTGAGATTTGATAAGATTTAGAGATTCTCAGATTCTGATCAGTAGACATATGGTGAGTGCACGGATTATATAACTTGAACATAATGTGTCACATCCTGATGATATAATGAAACAAGATGATAACAACAAACGTCATAATCCAACATCACTCCCATACACCATCGTCACGAGACATCATTAAATACCAGTGACCACCACACATCACAAAACGAGATGGTGTCCCAACTTTGGATTATAATCAATAATTTCTGTATAACAAATATCCAGATCTTTTATTTATACTACAATTGAATATTTTATAGATATGCTTATGCCTATACATGAAAAATCAGAAAACTGCGCTGTAATTGTCATATTCTCAAAATTTTGATTTATTAGAGAAGATTATATTATAAATTGACATTAACAGAAAATAATAATGCTTCATGGCTTTCTCCATATTTGCTTCACCATCACAGTTTCTGTCTGAAGATCTTGTTAACGTTGTCTTTCTCAAACCATCAAAATGCATATAGTCTTTTGAGTTCTAGGAGCTCTCTTCTAGATCCACTTGGGGAGCTTGTTTCATGACACAGAAAGGTTTATGCAGAGTCATTCATTTCCCTTGTTTCTTACCTGCAATTCACGAAGCCATACAATTGTTGCTCATCACAGTTAATCATAAAACATTCTCTTTTTCTTGTTAGTTATTAGCATCATGGTTTTACCTTTCTGGAACCACGATTTTCTAACTAACTGGCGAATTTGGCGTTCATGGCGTTCCAAAAGCTCATCAACTCCATAAGATTTAGACAACAAGGGCCCTGAGAATTCGATTTTCTCATCATTGTCTTCGTAACCCTGTCAAGATCTTAACTCATTAGCCTCATTGAGTATGTTTTTCAAAATATCCTCTAAGATTTTAACTCAATCATGCATTTTCTACGTTTTCCCCTCAAGTAACAAAGTGGGAAAAAACATAAAGCAACAAAGCTACACTCAGTCATATAGCAATCAGGATCTCTTTCTACTGATTTTTATGATGTCAGTGTCACACATCAATATGAAGCTTTGAAATTCATATCTTACTCCTTTATAAGGGGTACATGTGATCCCAAAACCGCTGCCATTAGCAAGACAGCTTAACATAACTAGCATATCACAAATTTCAAGAAATCATAACTTCAGATTTATATAAGTTAAGATTTGCATAAGAAAGGTAAAGCTAGGTTCTTAATTTCTCTCAGTAGAGATGTGCAAAACTAAGTATACTTGGTCTCTAGTATCTCAACTGGAATTTCTATAATAAGCTGAAAAAAGGGTTGCTTCTATAATCTACAAACGTACCAAATGACCCAGCTTTGCTGCCTTTTCTTCTCGCTGATAAAGTTCCAATGACAGTTCCTGTGAATGATACTCGTCAGAACCACCAAAAGAATCTGGTCGTTCAAGTTGCCTCCACTTCTTTAGCATTGAAAGTTTCAACATCTCATACGCCTCACGGTCTTGAGAATCCGTTCTTTCCCCATGTTTTTCTTCCTTTTCTTTCTCATTGTTTTTAGAGTCAACGTCAGTATTCTCACTGAAAGCAGGAGAAGGTCCCAACAGGTTAGGAATATGACCTCTTGAAAGAGATCTATTATGTGATCTAACACACATATCATCTTTTCGTCGCTTTGCCCACGCAAAACCACTTGATACAGAGACTTGCAAAGGCCCTGAGAAAGGCACATCTCCTTGTGATGCGTTCTTCACATGAGAAGCTTCATCCTTTTCATGATTTGATGGCTTTTGCATTTTCTCAAATAAAGTGGAATCACTATCAATCGAATTATGAACTGAATGACCATTACGTTTCTGAAACTTCTGGGAGTGGTGCCGTACATCCTGCAAGTAGAGAAAGGAGAGGGTTTTTGTTATTTTTTTTGTTTTTTTTGGCGTAAGGAATTCCCTTCTGAGAGATGCAGATAGTAAATGCAGGGAATTCGTGTTGGTGTACCTCAGCTGGTGCCAGTTTAGCAAATGCAGGGGGCTTTCGTGTTGGCTTCCTCGATTCTGTACCACGTCTCCCATTCCCGCTGATTTTTTTCCTGGAATTCCACAATAACGTTGGAGGATAATGAATAAGTGCTTACAGGACAAGACACTTCAGAAATTAAGTCCAAAAAAATTATGGTGCTGAGATTAACCAAGTAACTCCCAAGGGTAAACTGTGTTTTCACTGTATGTTTCTTGTAAGATATAGTGACAATGATGGTAATGAATGAAATTCTGACCTTGTTGTGTCTTCTCGATGCTTTGCATCAATCTCCTTGCTAGGCGAGTATACAGGCAAACTTGAGGGATCACAAGCAAAAGGCTTTGAAGTAAAATACTGAAAAGAACAAAGGGAATGTTTTAAAAGATGTGGCAATACAACAAAATAACATCTTCCTGAAAATCAAAGTTCCAAATCTTCAAACAAGATGCTGTTATAATAGCTGAAGGATAAAATGGTTACCTGAGAAACAAGGGCAGTAGACGCAGTCCCACGTTTGTGGGGCTGTATAGAAAGAAGAGTTTCTATAAGATTGATGTCAGCATCGGATAAACCTTTCAACTTCAAGGTTTCTCGGAGACAACCATCATAATGTTGCTGTGGTTTGAAAAGCATTGCATGAGGAAGTTTGGACTTTTTCCAGTAATCTTCAGGTGGAGATCCACAAAGTTTGAATATCTTGTGCAACTGCTCGACCTGTAATATACATTCAAGAAACAGCACTCTTTGAGTTATATTTTTTCCCCAAGTAAAAACAGAGCAATATACAGGATCCAGAGGTATGAAGCTACATGTAACATATATTTACAAGACAACAGTTTGTGGGTTACCTCAGTTCTCCCTTGCAGAACCGGTTTTCCAGTTAGAAGTTCAGCAAAAACACAGCCAACACTCCACAAATCAACAGATGCTCCATATTCCGTTGCCCCGAGCAAAAGTTCAGGTGGACGGTACCACAAAGTCACAACTCGACTTGTAAGAGGTTGCTTATTCCCAGAAGCATTGCAAAAATTAGCTAGCCCAAAATCAGCAACCTTCAATATTCCTTCATTATTCACCAAAAGATTTGAGCCCTTAATGTCCCGATGCATCACACCTCGTGCGTGACAGTGATCAAGTCCAGACAACAATTGTTTCATATAACACTTAATCTGCAAGTCCAGAGCAACATTCATTGTATTAGAAAAACCCGGACAAAATCTTGCATTACAAGAGTAAAGTCGTTTTTAATCACTAAAAATCAAAATGACCTGTGGAGTAGTGAAGTCGATATCAGGGCTAGAAAGAAGACCAGTGAGATCATGCTCCATATACTCGAACACGAGATGTATGCTGCAAGATAGCTTTGAAGTAACAATACCTTCTAGTTTGATAATGTTGGGATGATTGAGTTTCCTAAGTATCAAAATCTCTCTAGCCATGAACCTAACACTCTCTGGCTCAAAATTGTCAAATCTAACTTTCTTCAAAGCCACTATCCTCCCTGTTTCAGTCTCTCTTGCACGGAACACACTACTATAAGTCCCTTGTCCAATCTTCAAGGAAACAAAACCAAATCATTTTCAGAGACAACACAATTTCAAAAGTATTACATAATATACAAAGAGAGTATATAAAAAAGGAACCTTTTCGAGTTTTTCGAAAGCGTCGGATCGAAATGGAACCCAACCATGAATAGCTTCACCAGCGACGTTGCTAAGCCACGCAGGCCAACCAGCTGCGACCTGCTCAGCTTCAAGGTACTTGCTCAAATTACCGAGGCGGAAACTCACCGACTCACTCCTACAATTCGAACTCGCTCGACCAGACTCACTCAACTCACCGAACTCGCTACCCAACTCACTACCGCTCTTTTTACTACTACTCTTCTTCCCGCTCTTGCTCCACCACGACAAAAGCTTCGTCTCCGTCACCGGAGGAAGATCCTCAACCACAATTCTACCGGAACCAGAACAAACATTGTCCCTGAAAACACCAGAGTGATCGATCGCTGGCGTTACAGAAACAGTCTGCTTCGAGTTGACACAACCCATTCCCAGAATTTCGCTCCTCCGCGTCAACAACACATGTGTACCGGAACTATCTCTTAAACCGGCGCCGGTTATTGTGATTCGGATCTCCGGTGAATGATGAAACTATTGCTGTTGCGGTTTTCGTTAGATATATACAGAGAGAAAAGTTTAGAGAATGTTGTTTTTTTCTTTTAGAGTTTTTGATTTCTGCGTGAATTGCGGAAGACGAAATCAAAAATTAAACAGAGATAGATCAAAAGTAAATGTCGTGTAATCAAAAATAGAAATGTTTAAGGCGAAATCTACGGCAAGATTTTTTGGATCGACAGTGAATAATGATGACTTGATTGATCACTCTCTTTTACTTTCTGTGTTAAGTATTTCTACAGCTTTTTTTCTTTGTATAGTTCAATTTGATATAGTAGTGTTTTTTTTCTAATTAAGTGAGTAACATTGTTGAGAAAATCGAAATTAATAGGATTAAAAAATTATGCAATGGAACGAGAGTTTGACTAGCGGCGACCAGTGTGAGAGTGAGCTAATACGGCCAAAAACGGTGGTGGGTTGTTGTTGACTTGTTTGTTTCCAACATTTTTTAACCTCACACTTGTCATTTGTGTACTTTATATACAATCACAAACATTGTTGTAGTTTTCTTATTCGTATAATATGGGATCGATTCGAAATTCTTTGTTTAATAATAACCGAAGTAGTGGTATCAAAATGCATATTGAGATTTAAATAGAATAGCCCCTTTTTAGAGTAAGATAAATTCTTTGGGATTTGAGCTTTCGAACCTTACGGCAATCAATACATATTCCACATTAAATTGTTGAATTATTGTTGGATACCATATATCATGTGACTCTCTCCATAGATAAAGTTTTTCAACCAGCCGATATGTGTATACGTAGGGATGTCAAAATGGGTAACCCAACTCAACTCAACTCATAATCAAATGAGTTTAGGGTTAAATGAGTTATGGGTTGATCCAAACCATTTAACAAAATGGGTTGGATCAACCCATAACTCATTTCATTTGATGGGTTGAGTTGTTAATTGGGTTAACCCATCTAAGTAATAATTTAATTAATTATTATTATGAAATAATAATAAATAATTATCATTATTAATAAATTATTAATTCATTATCATCAAATTTAGAATATTTACGGATTCCACTTTTTACGGATTTACGTTTTTGGCGAAAAAATTACAGGTTTACGTTTTTGGCGGGAAAATCACGGGTTTACGTTTTTGGCGGGAAAATCACGGGTTTATGTTTTTTGGTAGAAAAATTACGAGTTTACTTTTTCTCAATTTCATCGCTTGTATATTTAAGAAATTTGGAAAAATATTGATTTTATTAAATTGGTTTAGATGTGTTGGTTAAGCTTAAATTGATATTGGTTTAGAGATTTTACTTGGTTTAATTCAATTTTACAAAACTTGATGGGTTAATTGGGTAAACCATTGAAACCATTAACCATTACAACCCAACTCATTTGACTCATCAAACCAATTGACCCAATAACCCATTTGACCCATCAACTCATTTGAGTCAAAAACTTTAACTCATTAGGGTTCATGGGTTGAGTTGAGTTGAGTTGACCCATGAATTTTGACCCATTTTGACACCCCTATGTATACGTGGGAGCTACATTTATTGTTCAAAGCCGAAATTCGAACACCCATTGATACAACTACCAATTTTTAAATTTTTATTTAGGTATTAATGAATGAAAGCTACTATATTTTTTTTATATATAGATGGGAAAAAATACATTTAAATATCAGAGAGAATTTTTTAAAAAAAAAAGCCAAAGGAAATTTATGTTGACTTTAACTTTTTGGCAGACATCTTTCTTTAATAGCTCACACATAATTGCGCACCTTTCCCGTTTTTTGATATTTCATGTCTCCATGACCAACCATAAAATCTCTATCGTAACAGTAACTTTTATTTCTCGACTATATAATAGTGAATTAGGTGGTCGATATATTAACAAACAATTTGTTGACTTCAAAAGTTAGGTATCAGTGTAAGCTGAATTTTATTTCCATTTGTATATAGAGATATAGAATCATCACTACTCTTACAAACAATGGTTTCCAGTATATGTAAAAGATTCTGATGAATCTGCCAATGTATGAGCATGAATCAAAGCTTTACAAAGACATGGTTGATTACTACTTTCTATGATGGTAACTCGCATGCGGCTTTACCATCTTTGGACTTGGACTGACCAAGCAGCTCAGCTACGGTTTTGCAGCGACATTCTTTTCCAGGTCGTAACACGTCTCCATAAACCGCCATCTCGATAACATCTAACTCCTTGTCTGCAATGTTTACAATAGAAGAAATCTTAAGAAAGTCAAAGCAAATATGCAGAGAATAGACACACAACACACACTTGAGTTCACTTGTGTATAATCATTGCAAGTACCAAGAGCTCTATAATCTTTTGAGTCTTTTTGAAAAGAAAATGCATTTCCCAAGAGCATTTAACACTTTGCTTCACTCCTATATAAAACGTAAACTAGCAACACCTAAAAACAACTCACAGCATGGCTTTTGGGTTTAAAGAAGATTTAGATTCCTAGTGGCTCAATAGCAATTCTTGATATGATCAAACCAACAGAGAAAAGAGAAAGAAGATCTAAAGCAAAAGCATCTCCCACATGTATGAGATTGGCATTACTTCTAAACGAACATGCTATTCAACACAGCACTTTACGAAAGCATAACAGAGGTAAGAAAGACTATATCTATACGATTAATGATCTTAATCTCTACAGAATATGGAACATACTACAAATCACAATCAAGATTGTCCCATCTTATCTACATAATAACATAGAAATGAACACTGAAAAACAAACCCAACAAGGAAAGATTGAATCTTATAGCAGATGAGCAAATCTATGATCCATCATCACATGTAATTAGAAGAAGAAGAAGCTAACATTTGGCAACATACCCGTAAATTGCAGACCACAAGAATAGCTCTTAAGAGTGGTGGCATCAACATTTTCTTGAGCTGATTTGAATCTGTTAACTCTTGTTTGAAGAATCTGACAATTCTCCGCTATCGACTCTCCACCTATATACACAGAAACAAATATCAAGATCCTAATTTTAACTACTCAAAACCTAAATTCAAAATGTCACATTTGGGGAAGCAGTGATAAGAAAAATCAAACCTTTGGAATAAGGAACAATGTGATCATACTCGAAACAGAGACAACCATTGCAATTTCCGAAGCGTTTGCAGACTATGTTACCGGCGGCGTCTTTACGCCACCTCTCGGGATGTCGACCAGGTACGATGTCAGCATTAGCCCAGCACTTGTTCTTCGCCTTTCCATCGAAGAAACGAGGTCTCTCTTCTCCGTTAGATTTTACATTGGAACGTGACGGCGATGAAGGTGGCGACGGAGGAGGAACGGCGGCGGCGGTGGTGGAGTTAGTAAAGGAGGCGGAGAAAGATGACCCCATCGCATTGCCGTCCTCTCTCTCTAGAATTTTGGGTTTTTGAACCGGGAAGGTAAATTAAATTCGGTTCAAGTAAACATAGACCGAACCGGGTAATTTTGGCTTCTTGTTAAATTAGACCGGAATTTTGCATTTTCCTTCTCTTTTTGGCAACTCTTGACGCCTGAAAAATCTTTTGATCGGAGATTGCTAAATCAGACGGCGAAAGAAACTCCGTCGTCTTCGTCCATGGCCTCCGTGTATATACTCTTCTGCGGGTTTGTCATTTTCGGTTGAATTTCTTTCTGTTTTCATTTGAGTCTTGTTTCAATCGCATGATTCCACCTTCGAGTAACTTATACTCCATAGATAGTCCTGAAATTAGTATCTACTGTTGGGTGAGTGTGTGCGTCTGTGTGTGGTGTTTCGTGAAGAGTCTTGGATAAACTCAGCGTACTCTATTTCTGTTAGTATAAGTAGGCTAATTGAATTTTAGAACTATACTTTAGGTGGTCTTAGTTCAAGTACATTGCAGACAAACTTGAAGAACGTTTTTCAAAATCGACCATGACATGAATTCGTTCCATGATGCTTCTTCTTCACCATCATTCTTCATACTGTTTCTCTCAATTTCTATCTGTTTCAGGATATACTTGCTCATCAGATTTTATAGAGGTCTGTCAGTTTGTTGTGTGCTAAATCTGTTAGCTTTATGTTGTTAATATCATCAGTGCTACTAAATGTTTTGCAGATAGACTACGCCTTTAAGCTGTTAAGAAATCTCGTATATAGAGAAGGGACTATGACACCTGGCAATGATGAAACAGCAGTAAGTTGTTACTGCAGCATACTGAAAAAGAATGAACATTTATTCTGTTTATATGAAAACGAATTGCTTGGTTTAATGGTTCCATGTTTGCAGCATGTTATAGAGGAGCTTGAAAACGAAAATGTTGTGGAAGATTTTGCAAATATAACTTCGCCTGCTGGGAAGTCGTTTCTTATGGTCAGTTGACTAAACGAGCTCTTTACCATCTCCAATTCCATTTCCTGAATTTGGGTATATGATTTCTTTTGGATCCAACTTGTTATTACATATAATATTTCGTAGAGGTTTCAACGTGAAGTTTGATGCCATTTTACGTTGTAAGACTATGCATTTCATTTCCAAACCAAGGCTGATATAGGTATAATAAGCCTCTGAGTAGATTGTTTACAGTTGCGTATACATGGTTGGCTCTTCTTTGATATGTAAGCATAGAGTCACTTAAGTTTGTAGAGATATCAAGCATCATGCTTTTGATACCTCTCTGGCAAAATATCCAAGCAATCTGGCATGAATATTCATATGTTGAAGATGCGAAAGGTTTTTATTTTTCATTTAATAAGATGCTTAATGTTGGCATGCATATAAAACATATTGCTCCGCATCAAATATATTTAATTACAACCAGGTTTCTCCATTATCCAATTTAATATTCTTTAATGATTTTTAAAAGAGGCTCTTCAGATTGTCCAAGTCCATCATCTACTAGTCTTCCATCAGGATCCTGCCAAAAATCTGAAGTTTCAGAGCGGTGTAGTTCAGAGAGGGAGAGAGTGTGGGATCTACACATTCTGTGAGTAACAAAAAGACAGTCTTCACCGATTATAGTTATAAGTTAGACCGTGTCTGGATTCAAGTGCCATCTGGAGGTCTCTCCCCTGTGAGTGAAATCTAGAGACAGGAGGCAACAAGTGAAATGTTTCAGGATGGGTCAAGATCCTCAGGAAGTGGCAGAGGACTGTCGACAACGGCTGTATCAAATGGTGGATGGAGAACCCGTGGGTTTTTGCGCGGTTGGCAGATCCAGAATACCTTATTTAACAACATCAAGTTCATGATTCTCTGCTGCTTCGTGACCATTCTCATCCTACTTGGCACAATCCGTGTTGGGAACCTTGGAAGCTCCAACGCCGACTCTGTTAATCAGAGTTTCATCAAGGAAACCATTCCGATTCTCGCGGAGATCCCCTCTGATTCGCATTCGACGGACTTGGCTGAGCCTCCTAAAGCTGATGTTAGTCCCAATGCAACGTATACTCTAGAGCCAAGAAGCGCGGAGATCCCATCTGATGTGCATTCAACGGACTTGGTTGAGCTGCCTAAAGCTGATATTAGTCCCAATGCAACGTATACTCTAGGCCCCAGAATCGCGGAGATCCCATCTGATTCGCATTTGACAGACTTGCTTGAGCCGCCTAAAGCTGATATTAGTCCCAATGCGACATATACTCTAGGGCCCAAAATCACCAACTGGGATAGTCAACGCAAGGTATGGCTGAATCAGAACCCTGAGTTTCCTAATATTGTCAATGGCAAAGCTCGAATATTGCTTCTCACAGGGTCTTCCCCCGGACCCTGTGATAAACCAATTGGAAACTATTATCTATTGAAAGCTGTGAAGAACAAGATTGATTACTGTAGACTCCACGGGATAGAGATTGTGTATAACATGGCGAATTTGGATGAGGAACTCTCAGGGTATTGGACGAAATTACCTATGATTAGGACATTAATGCTGTCTCATCCAGAAGTAGAATGGATTTGGTG